GATATTTTTTGAATTTTTACGGAAGTACAAAGTCGCATATAACGTTCTTTCTACTTAAAAGAAAGTAAATCAATGGGAGTGGAGGGGTTCTCTGTTGCATCTCTGCCCCATGGCTGATGTCTCTTTGCTGAGGGCTGGTGGTCTCTACCTCAGTTGGTGGGCAGAGTAGTGAAGCTAGGAGGAGATTTGGAGGTTGAGCAGGTGCAAGAGGGAGGGGGTTTGGGAGCCCAGGTCTAAGTAGTGGTCTGCCCCCAGTGCCTGGTGGTTCAAGAAGGGGAACAGGGTGCCTATTGGGGCCTGTAGGTGAGCTGGCTCCCTCGGAGAACATAATTCATCTGTTCTTTACTCCCCATCGCAGGATGGGGATTACAGGACTATCACAACCACTAAGTATAACCTTGTGGAGTGGATTATCAGGGGGTCTTCATCTTCTGGTGGTGGCCTATTACCCAATATTAATACCTTTTTTGTTTTATTTAAAGCTGCAGTCTGTTACATTGAGAAGAGAGCAGACTTCGACTGAAAATTTGAAGAAAAACAGAAAAACACTCCCCTACCCTCTCTGCTTCACTCATGCCCCACCTCCAATCTCCACCCCTCTCACAGCATCTGCGTGGCTACTGCATGCGACCAGAAGCGTCCAAGCAGCGTACGAGGCAGCTCTTCCATTGACATCTTCTTTTATGAAGTCTTTGCCGTGTAAGCAGTTGTCGGCAGGGACAGTAAGGGCAGTTTCTCTTTCGCTGGTGGCTGTCGCTCCGCCATGACTTCCACGCGCGTCCTCCTGACTGCGGCAGCCCGGCGGCAGGTTCAGCGGTGAGAGGGAGGGGGTGGGATTCAGCGTGTGTGAGCTGTGATTGACACTCCATCAGATGCTCCTCTGGCTGTGATTGGTTGTTTTGTCTAGTCCCGAAATATTCTTTCCAGATTGCAATACAGGCAGTAGGCGGGACCAATTGAAGCAGTTTTTTTCACAGGTTACATATCACATGTACTGCTGTCTGGGCATAGGGACAGTTTTAGCCAATATGACAAAAAATAGATTTTTAAAAACTTACAGACTTCAGCTTTAAGCAACTTAGCCTGTATCATTCATCAACATTATAATGGCATTTACATGTAGGGCAATAATGTGGAGATGTCAGGGGCACTAACTTTGCCTTCAATGCTTATGCCCATGTCAACACTACATATCAGGACAAGGGGGCTGACATAAGGTCTTTTCAAACCACTGTCCTCTGTGATTGAGCCGGAGGGTGGAAGCGGACCATGAGTCCTTGGGGATGATCTTTGCCAGACAGAGTTTTTAGGGTCTCCTGAGACTCTCTAGCCTTGGTTTTTCATCTCTTTGCTTGAGGATCTAGTTTGTCTGCCGAGATGGGGGTGCAAATTTGGGGATTGGTTAAGGTGATTGAGAGTTTGCCTTCTTCCTTGAGGGGGTTAGGCTGGATGGCATGGCATGTGAGATACGACCAGCTAGCCCAGATGCTTCACAGCTTTTGGTATGGGTCTGCCTGTTTGCCTGTCTTCTGGTGATTTGGCATGGATGGAGCATTAAGGTGTGTTTGGTACCTGCACTCAGGGGGCTAGCAGGCTCATTTTGGCCTAAGGCGGCAGGCTTCTTAAGCTGACATTACTTGAAAACCATGGGTACGAGAGGTCCTTAAGGAGGTGCTGGCTTGGGATGGCCAGGGTAACCTGGGGGCAGGATGGGTCCTTAAGTGAGGTCTCTGCTGGCGCTGGTCTTTTGGAGTGGGCGAATGTGTGGTATATAGAAGGTGCTGTTAGGAGGCTATGGTTAGTGTTATGCGGGATGGTGTCCTCCTAGGGATGAATTGGTTGGGTGTTTAGGCAGGTCAGTAGGGACGTATGCCTACTGTGGCCCCAGAGAATCCTTTGTTTGGGTTCTTGTTTGTATGTGTGGCAGTGTGCGAAATACCTGTCAATATTTGGGGGGGGGTCCCCATCTCCCGATTGTTGCGTAATACTGATCTAAATTTTCTCAATATGCAGTAGGCCTATAACATTTCAAAGTCAGTCAGCTTTAATGTCAATTCTTCACATTCACCAGACATACAAGGACTCGAGAGGACGTTGCTCATTCACCAACAATGAAACCGATAAAGTGCACAGGCACAACAGATAAGATCAGTTCCTAATACTAAAATTTAAACATTCAATTTCACAATAAAATATAAAATGTTCAATAATATAAAATATGCAATACTTATGCTAGTGCAAAAAGACAGATAGTAATGGCAGCAGAAAAAAAAATATTATTACCAATTATGTAAGATATAGCATTTGTAACAGTAACAGTGCAAAAGAACAGTAAATAAATATAGTGTTAATAGTAGTGCAGGAGACAGTTTGTCCGGAGTGATTTTTCTTTGGCCCGGAGGAAAACTTTTTTGCTCAGGATAGTCTTTTCTTGATCTCTCAAGACAGTACGGAGATCTCAATTGAATATCTTTATGAGATTTCTTCAATCTGAATTGTGTATCTTTTTGAGATCACCTCAATCTGAATTATTGCTCCTAAACCCCCCCTTAGGAGCAAAATTGAGATATTGTGAGAATGACTTTTTGAGACTTGTAGGAGAAATGATAGTCATAGATAAGATCTCATCATTGCATCTTTTTTATTTCATTCATGTCTTGCTTATTGCTCCTAAAAAGCCTGTTGGAGCACTAAAGAGTTAAAATACAGATCTCAATTGCCTGTCTTCTTGAGATCACCTCAATCTGAATTATTGCTCCTAAACCCCTCCCCTTAGGAGAAAAACTGAGATAATGTCAGAATGACTTTGAGACTAAGGTAAGAGAAAATTGAGATTAAAATGGAAGAAATAAGAAACAACAGTGAATGAACTTTAGCCTCATTTATTTTGCATTAATTCAACACGCATACCAGTGTGCATACCATTTTACAAGAGTGAACCAGGCCATGCATTGTAAAAGTGACAGCAATCACATTATCCCAATTGAGAACCACTGGTGTAACAACATGTCAATAAACAGTGAAAAAATTCACAACTGCTGAACAAGAGGGCACACTGGTGAACAAGGGGCTGTTGTAAACATTATGCCTGTAAAGCCAGTCACTGTACTGACCTGTGACGGCATTTATTTATGAGGGCCTTTTTAAGCTTGGCCTCCTCTACTGGTTTCCAGTTCTCCATCGTTGCGCACCGCCATCTTGTGCATTAGAATGGGTTTGCAGTGCCAGTGTATCAAAGGGTTAAAATAAAGGACTGTTTATATCCATCTTAGCCTTCCTGTGCATCTCTCAACACACCAGGAGCTACATTCAGTATTATTCTTATTTGACTTTTACGGTGGCCGACAAGGGTCAAACGGACAGCAACGGCCCAATACGTCTCAGTTTGAGAAAACAGCTTCAAGTACAGAAACGATGCAAAATCACAAAATCAAACAAGTCTAAACGAGGTACAAAACGAGGAACGTGTTGCAAATGAAAACACGCATCATCAAAAATGCATCATCATCAAACGCACTGCAAATGGAGAAACGATCTGTAAACCAAGAAAAGATCTGCAAACGAAAAACGCTGCATGCTCCAAACCTGCAGGGGGAGCCCTCAGCGTAACAGCTCAATAGAGAGACACACGGGATGGAGAGAGACAGAACAGCTGACTAAATCACAACGGTGTATGAAAATACAGCAGGAACGGTAATGTGACTTTTACTTGATTTTATATATATATATGTATATACATGTTTGCATGTAGATTAGCCTGCTTGATATAAAACACCTGTTTTAATAATACATTAAAAAGCCCTCTTATCACAGTCTCCCATACCTATATCAAGCAGGCTAATCTACATGGAAACATATATAAACATATATATAAAATCAAGTAAAAGTCATATTACCGTTCCCGCTGTACAGTGGAAACCGCTTATAGTGATCACGTTGGTCTGGAGTCAATATGATCACAATAAGCAGTTGATTACTATAACTGAATTTTATGGTTTCACTTCATTTTTTATGCATAACATTATCTAAATGCCATTTGTATCGTTTTTCAAAGAGAAAAATGGAAACAGCTTCAGCATTGACTGAATTTTATTCTGATTTTAAACTCAGTCGTTTTAAATGCTTCTTTTGAGAAGCATCATGCAAATTTAATTACTTTTGCCTAACACCAAGTTCACTTCTTTTTCAAAACCATGTAAAAGGTCAAAGTTTTTAAAACCAACATGCAGGAGACCAGTCTTTAAAATGTGAACTGCATTCCTCAGCTCTGGATGGGACAGCTGCGCTGTGTCCTGCTGCGAGTAAAAAATAAAATACACGTAGTTTTAAAATAGTTTTTGCATGTTTTCATTCATAAAATTCCCAAAAATGAAACTATAAGTGGATTTCTTGATCACTATAACCAAATTATTTAAACAGCATTTGTATAGAAATGATTCTGTCCTCTGGATCCTAAAGCAGCTGATTACTATATCCGTGATCACTATAAGCGGTTCCTGCTGTATTTTCATACACCGTTGTGATTTAGTCAGCTGTTCTGTCTCTCTCCATCCCGTGTGTCTCTCTATTGAGCTGTTACGCTGAGGGCTCCCCCTGCAGGTTTGGAGCATGCAGCGTTTTTCGTTTGCAGATCTTTTCTCGGTTTACAGATCGTTTCTCCATTTGCAGTGCGTTTGATGATGATGCATTTTTGATGATGCGTTTTTTTATTTGCAACACGTTCCTCGTTTTGTACGTCGTTTAGACTTGTGTTTGATTTTGTGATTTTGCATCGTTTCTGTACTTGAAGCTGTTTTCTCAAACTGAGACGTATTGGGCCGTTGCTGTCCGTTTGACCCTTGTCGGCCACTGTAGACTTTCATAATCTAATCATATTAAAAATATATTTACTCAAAAAAAAACAACAACAATCAAGTAACTAGTGTACAACAAATCAAGCAGGCAAAATACTAGAAAGTAGCTAGAACATTGCAGTCATTACACCAGAAAAACTACTCACTCAGAATTCCATCAACTTTGCTTTGGTCAAGCAGCTGCTTCCCCTCTGGTATCTTGCCATGTCGTCCGAAAGCCACTGCATTGGTGCACTCCTCTGCGGTGAAGAAGTGTTCAAAAAGGAGATGGAAAAGTCGAAGGCTGTCATGGTCACATTGGTGCATTATGGAGGCAAGCTTGAAAGATGACAGGAACAGGCCACTATTGGGAAAGAGCTCCTGAAGAGCCTTCTGTGACGGGTGGATCAAGGCTGCAGGGCTCTCCTGGTACAGAGCAACATTTTTAAGAAATCCTCGAGCCACTCTGATGTCTTCTGGCTCTGAAAAACAAAAAGGATAAAAGAAGTGTTGATGTACAGCTCTTAATGACAGTATACACCCTTGGTTATCAAAAGGTACTATTAACCACAATAGAGTTAACATTATAGACTTACTTATGCTGCAGAGAATGTCCTCCATCCTCTTCTTCTCTTTTTCAAGTTTTCTCAACTCTGGACCACACCTCTGACATGGCTGCCAGGACCTTCTGTCACTCTGTGCTACATCCTCAATGGGTTCTCCATATTCACTTTGAGGGCTTCTGTCAACTATCAGGGTGCTTGCACAAGAAGATGAACTTGTGCTCAGATTTTCATCTGTCTAAGGGCGAGAAGTCTGAACTAGCATCATCTTGGTTGTGGAAGGAATCAGAATATTGGTTGAACTGTGTGCCTGCGACTCACATTGCACTGGCGAATCCACATTGAAGTGGAGTGGCTTAGGCCGTTTCGGAGGGTACAGGGTAGTGTACTGTTTGAGGGTGTGAGGAGATGGCAGAGCGTGGCCTTGGGAAGGAGGCGAAGGCAGAGCGTGGCCTTGGGAAGGAGGCGATGGCAGAGCGTGGCCTTGGGAAGGAGGCGAAGGCAGAGCGTGGCCTTGGGAAGGAGGCGAAGGCAGAGCGTGGCCTTGGGAAGGAGGCGAAGGCAGAGCGTGGCCTTGGGAAGGAGGCGAAGGCAGAGCGTGGCCTTGGGAAGGAGGCGAAGGCAGAGCGTGGCCTTGGGAAGGAGGCGATGGCAGAGCGTGGCCTTGGGAAGGAGGCGAAGGCAGAGCGTGGCCTTGGGAAGGAGGCGAAGGCAGAGCGTGGCCTTGGGAAGGAGGCGAAGGCAGAGCGTGGCCTTGGGAAGGAGGCGATGGCAGAGCGTGGCCTTGGGAAGGAGGCGAAGGCAGAGCGGGGCCTTGGGAAGGAGGCGATGGCAGAGCGTGGCCTTGGGAAGGAGGCGAAGGCAGAGCGTGGCCTTGGGAAGGAGGCGATGGCAGAGCGTGGCCTTGGGAAGGAGGCGAAGGCAGAGCGTGGCCTTGGGAAGGAGGCGATGGCAGAGCGTGGCCTTGGGAAGGAGGCGAAGGCAGAGCGTGGCCTTGGGAAGGAGGCGAAGGCAGAGCGTGGCCTTGGGAAGGAGGCCCCTGGACAGGAGGCGATGGCAAAAAGTGGGCGCTGACATTTGTTGAAGAGTGGACATCAGTCAACTTGGGGGAGGAGTGCTGGCGATAATATACATCTGCAGGGATATTCTTTGTTATGTCCTTTTTGGGTTTTTTTTGCATGCCTGTATTTGGCCCAATATAATTCACAGTGGCGCTGTAAAATCTCCCATCACTCCATCTGGCTAGGACCCTTTCTCCTGGCCTCAAGACATCCAACTGTCCAATGGAGCTGTCATTCGCATCCAGAATGTCACATGTTTTAAAGATTTTGGCAGTGTAGCCATCCTCAAAAGTGACAAATGCAAAGTGACCTAAAATAAAACAAAAACCATGTCACAGTTAACATGTCATATTTCACAACAGTACATTTCAAAAGAACACAAGATATGTCCTATAATATCGATATAAATCCAGCTTTTATATTGAGTTTTCATTTACATAACTTTTTGAAACTTAAAGATTTCAGATTTATTTATGGTTAGCCCTCTGAGATGAGCAGCCAGCTTGTTTCCAATGCACATACTGTACACTGAGAGAAGAAGAGAGGGGAAGAGGAGAGGAAGAGAGGTGTGGAGTGAAGGAGAGGAGAACAGAAGGAGAGAGAAAAAAGATTTAGTGAGTTAAGAGACAGTGGTAAGAGTATAGTGCAGGGTTCTTCAACGTTTTCCAGGCCAAGGACCCCCAAACTGATGACAAGATGGAGCGGGGACCCCCTAAATATATATATTGTATGAAATTGTGTTATATCAACCGGTCCTATAGTCACTCTATTACAGATGGAGTAATGTAACTAAAGTAATCCTTCCCTAGGATTATTAAAGTATTTCTGATTCCTGGTTGATGGGACAGGTGTTGTAAATGAAACGGTGTCCAGCTTGAAAGAGCTCCTGTGTGTCGCTGAATGTGTGCATTGATGACTGAAATACATCTTCTGCCTCCATTTATCTGTTTACTACAGTCTTCAATTCATGTTAATGTGGATTTAAAGACATTTCAATTCAGGAAGGAATATAAAAAAAATAAAAAATAAATCAACCAAGTTTCGCGACCCCCATGCAGTACCTCCGCGGACACCCTAGGGGTCACGGACCCCCTGTTGAAGACCTCTGCTCTAGTGAATCCACAAATGTTCTCTGTGGTGGCTATGATTTGTATTGTTTTTTTAACCTTGTTTGGCATTTGTTGATTCATTAAATACAAGTAGTTAAATGTGCTTGTGTTTGTTATATGATAAACATTTAGTAATGTGCATTTCACAATATGTAGTGTATTAGCCCGGGAACAGTAAATCTATATCTATTATAGTATTATTTATTTGTTGTGGCCATTGCCCCCCCAATAATAATTTTCTGGTGCCGCCGCTGCTTGACAGTGAATTAAGACACATCTTGAGTCTAGCAGCTAAATTTATATTATTATATATTAAATATATATATTAATTGATTGTCAATTTGACCTAAATTATTATTAAAGTAGTTTATACTGTATACAGTTTAGCATGTAGGGGATCTTTAAAAATCTGCTATTCTACTTATACTTTCCTTTAATTACCAATTGATAAGTTAAAAGTAAAAAATAACAGTAAATAAATTAACAATAACTCACCAGCTGCCTCCTCTTCCTCTTCAGTTCCCAGCTGTACATGATCTTTCATTTTGGTTGAAGGTAACCTCTGTCTTTTTGAGTTGGATCCAGATGTCATTCTGTAAATGGCAGTTTAAAAAGCATGATGTTAGCAATCTAATACTTTCATATATCACATACAAGATAAGAAATCCAAGACAAACCAAACCCTCTAGGCTTCATGGCCAAATGATCGCATCTGGATATTGAACCCAAATATCTCAATATTGATATGACTATGATTTCATGCAAAGTGCAGAGAACAGTGAAAATTACACACACTCAAACACTACATATACATACATTTTTACATATATATAGTCAGTCCATATTGGACTTATTAAACTAAAAATGTCTTCTTCAGATCATGTTTCTTCAAATAACTAAACTGTCTTTACTCATCAATAAAAGACTCTACTTCTAGATGTCTTGTGCTGTTGAATGTAACCGCTGTAAACCAATCATAAACTGACGTCTTATTGATCTGATTCACCGGCTTTCTTACCGTCACCGCTGTTAATGACCATGGTGAAGTTAGTTTCAGGTTGGTTAGTCAGACATACTGTAGTCGCGTACAGTAGAGTCAGCAGTATCGAATATCCAACCTGAAACTAACTTCACCATGGTCACAAGCTTTTAAACAGAACAGAGAAATGTATTAAATATTTTTTAGCGTGAAAAATGAAATACATGGCGTGGCGGGAGTGCGTGACAAAAAGACAGAAAACTGGTGACGCAGCAGAGTCTCTACTTTCATATGACACCTTGTTTGTGTGGTTAGCATCATTTTGGTATGCTACATGTTAGCTTACTAGCTTCATATGTCTATGCAGCACGCATCTCACGCAGCCCTTTGTACAGTGGGCGCTCTTACTTAAAAGGTTAATTTATATGGACATTTTCACAAACACAACATTGATACCAACTTCCAAGTGTGCTAAAAATCAAAGGAAACCATGCTACTTGTAATGTTAGTAGCTAGCTTGATTCGAGACTGCATGGTCGTTCAAAATTCATCGCCCAAAATTAAAATAAATTGACTACTGATATCCGTGCATTTTTATCAAGCATATCAATGTATAATGCTGTCGACGGTTACAAAACTAACTTATATGTAAGAAGTTCAAAACTTACCTTCACTCCAGACAACTTCCACTGCACAATGTCAACAGGTGCCACTTCAGAGACTGCAGACCTAATTGGTCCCGACTGGACTGTCCCGCTCAAAGTGTCAGTTTGAAATTCAAACCTCCAATCAGCTGCTCTAGACGTCCGACCCAGCCCGCTCTCGTCTTTGGCCCAGTGAATATTTTATTTCCATTATTACTACCTTACTTACAAATTATTTGAAATATAGTTCATTCTCACTGTATGTGCACTGAGGATTCATGTTTCTTAACCACATTTTTTTTTTCTTTTTTCTGTATGATTTCTGTACAGTAATGACATGCATCCTTAATGAATTTGCATTAATCTCTAAACATAATACTGAAACGGTTGGTTGTCTAGTTATGTTGACTTTTATTATTTTATTAATAAATTGGAAAACTTGGAATTTAAAAGTGCATTATTTTCTTTCTTGTTTTCTTGTAAGTTACAAGGTAAGGAACTTACAGTAATATAATACAATAATTACAATGCAGAATTTGAAATGTAGTATGTCCAGTAAAATCAAAATACTCATGCAAGTAACTCTATGAGATTTCATGGAGCTTCTCTTATCCATTTTCGGAAGACTTAAATGAGACTTATTTAATATCATTTAGAGATCTCTTCTTTTGATCAGAGTAAGACACACTCTGGTTGTTTATTCTGAGGTCACTATGAGAAAACTGAGACATATTTGAGAAGAATAATGAGATCTTGGGAGTCATAGCTGAGTTTTCTTTGAGCTCTTTCTTTGATCTCATGGTCTCATGTTTAGGAGGCTGAAATTAGACATATTTCAGATCATATAGAGATCTCTTGTTTTGATCAAACATGAGATTATGTGTGATTGTTTCTCCTGAGTTGAATTTGAGAAGCAGGAGAAAAAACCTTTGGTCTCACCTTAGTATCAAAAATAGCTCATTTGTGTCTAGGAGAAATGAAAGAAACAACAATGAGATCTCTTCTTGGATTTTGCTTTCCTATGGGGGGGGCTCAGCTTCCTGACAGCTTGGTGGATGAAGCTTTCTGTGAATCTGGTGGAGCGGGCAAAAGCCTGAACAGACAGTCAGTCTATGAAAACACACATATGCACAAAGACTGTCTGTCTCTTTCATGCACGCACATGTCCTGCTTTAAAGGGACACTATGCAACATTTTTCAGTTAATTAATGTGTTCCATAACGTTATGGATGACTAAATGAGTCATTTCAGGTTGAACAAAGGTATTCTCGGCCGCCCTGGTGGTCTGTGGGGGAAATACTGCACTTGCAACTGCAGGAGCATCGACCCGCACCCACAGGCTCAGAAGTCTCCTGAGAGTCAGTCTTGCTTTACGGCGAGAACTGCTACACGCCCCCAGTTAAAAGCATTCTCGTTGCTAGCACAGTGGCAATCTTTGTGCAGTTATGCTACGTTCACGCAGCAAAAGCAGCAAAATCGCGTCTGCTGCTTCCTTTTTGCTGCTTGTACCAGTTACTTCTGACGCGCAGCTTTGCTGCTCTGGCTGCGCGGTGCAAAAGTGTGTCTGAGGCGCGTTGGGCGGAGCTTCACTATCCTTTCTCTGCCTTGCAGCTATATTTGCTGTGATCAGTGGGAATAAAGTAGTTTTAATATGCGTTTAAGTGAGAAAATACACCTGAAAACGTAATCAGTGCCGTCAGTTCATTCAGATTATTATCCTGCCTTCAATATTTTTTCTGTCGGAGCCGCTCAGACCCCCACATACCAGCGGGGCGCCGACAGTATGGATCCCTTCATCAGCAGCGGTTCACCGCGGCAGCTGGTAGGTGTTTTTCATCTAAATAATCCAAACTGCATATTCTGCCGGCAGATTTCTGCATTTTAAGTTAATTTAGGCGTCAATAAACCGTTTAAGAGGAGTGATCATCAGCGCTGTGTCTCTCTCCCTGCATTAAAAACAGAGCATATTTGTGAATAAAGGTTTTGAATTTTAATAATGGACATGTTGAGCTTAAAAACATTTTAGTGACCATTAGCGACAAAAACATAATTTATGTCCTGCCCTCACTCTTAGCTTAGCAGGTAGATAACCATCATTTCCAATAACCACACTGTAAGCCTTTTCTTTGGATTTATTGGCTGGATTAATGAATGGTAAAACTCCAACAAAGAAATAATGTGCATAAGTCTTTGTGTAAACAGGCACAATTCCAAATAAACAGACACAATCCTCCTAAATAATAAACTCAACATATTCCCTGAATATGTACAGAAACACATAATGATACAAACAACATGTTAACATTAGCCGCTAGCTAGCGGCATCACTAACGGCTAGTTAGCGTGTATGCTAGCGGCTAGTTAGCGCGTATACTACCGTCTTTTTAAACTTCTCTTCTCGGTGACCTTTCTTGCAATAAACCTCCAAACAAAACATGAAACAGTACTATATGTACATAAACGAAATACACCCTTCACATCAAATTACATGCTGTACTGGGCAAAATAGCAGCACAGAGAGAACAGTCGACCCCCCCCCCCCGGACCCCCCCGTATTTCGCACTCTGATGTGTGGGTTAGGTCATTAGATCAATGATTGGTGGAGTTGTGTCTGGGGTGGGGTTCAGAACCATAGATATCCATAATAAAGGCTAGATGTCTCGTCCGCGCTGCTGGCCAATGGGGGTCGACGTCCGCACGTGGCGGCCATCTTGCCACAGGCAGCTCGCTCATTCGTAACATTGTGTTTTAAAGGCGCATGTACTTAAAAAACCTTAACTTCCTCAATAGGGGGTTTTCAGGTGACGTCACGCTCACGTGACTACTCAGCGCGTCCGCCGCTGCCTTATTGGGTGGCAGCCTTAGGCAGTATTGACAGTGAAAAATGGTGAAATCGTGTGTAATTGTTGGTTGCACGGCCCGTGGAGGTGGAGATCAACGCTCTTTCTATCGCATACCAGCCGTAATCGTGAATCAATGTGAAAAAACAAAACAGCTATCTGAACAACGCCGTCACCTATGGCTGACACGGATATCCAGGTCCGATTTGGACGGTGTTAAGCTGGAATACGCCAGAGTCTGCAGTGCTCACTTTGTCACAGGTAATTAACTGTCAAGCATTTAAAACATGTAAGAATATATTAATAATAGGGCTTGGGCGTCATGACGTATTACTTTCCGTGGCCGCAATGTTGACTGCCTCCGCCGCCGCTACTCAGACTACTGCCTATGACTACCGCGTACTGGACTCCCTCTCTCAGCCGTGTTTTAATTTGATTAATTTCACCTTAACTTGATTTCAACCAGCGGGAAAAGGCTCAAATATGTGAGAAACCCGGAGGGTTTAGGGAGGTTTGGCAGTTAACGTTACTAACCAAACCTTTGAAACACATAGCAGCTAGTTAAAAGTACATTACATGCCTGAGTGGTTGTTAGCACTAACGGTTAGCACTGTTTGCTGGCTTTATGAGCTGCAGCTCCTGAACCCATCCATTCGTAAACTGCAGATGAGACTCCAAGGACTTGTAGCTTTGGAACTGTTCGCGCACCGCCGGCCGTTAGCCACCTAGCATAGCGAGCCCTGCGTCGGATTGTTTACATTTTTACCATCTTATTAAAACTCAACCGTCCACGTATGATGGCGATTTCCTTCATGTACATCACTTCGACATCTCGTACCCAACCAGATGTGAACTGGTTGTGAGCCTCTAGACCCTTGTACGCTCTCATTTCCTCAAGAGTGTGCAGAGGGTTTTCACTGAACACCGGGTAATGAACTATGTCACCATGCTCTACATTTGGCCAATCATCTGGATTAGTGCTAAACAAGGCACCGTGGAGGGCATAGGGGTCCATATGGTCGATCACGGAACATTTCCTCAGATATGTTCCATGATCTGGTGGCTCTAGCGTGCTGGCGTACTTATCCATTCGCGACATGATATATATGATATACGATAATATGCCACCCAAGATGGCGGACCGGAAGCTGGCCAGTGACGTCACTGAAAACCCCCTATTGTCTAACTGTTTGATTTGTTAAACAAAAGTCAGACATGTAGTTATGACACTGCACACTTATGAATAATTATAACCATGGAATTTCATATGAAAAGAACATTGAATAGAACATACAGGTGCAATAAATATACACATGCACAAGGTATTTATGTTAAATCAATATATGCTATTAAAACTCAGTGTACTGAATGGCAACATGATATATAGATATATCTATAGATATCTATATCTATATAGATATCTATATAGATATAGATACCTATATATATATATATATATATATATATATAAATATGTATATATATATATATATATAAATATGCATATATATATAAATAAAAATATGTATATATACATATTTATATATATATTTTAATATGTATATATATATATATATTTATATATATATATATATATAAATATGTATATATATATATATATACATATATGTATATATATATATATATACATATATACATATATGTATATATATATACATATATATACATATATGTATATATATATACATATATATATATATAAATAAACACTTTTATTTGGGTGTGATTAATTATTTCACAGTCCTAATTTATTTATATTTACATACATACTTTTATAATATGAATATTATTGTTATAATAAAATATGAAATACTGACAAAAAAGGCTTATTGTGTGGCAACCTCTTGGTGTAGAAGCATAATCCAGGTTTCAAATTAAAGGTAACACTTTGAAGTTTCATGTAGACTATTTGGATTATATATCAGGGGTAATCACACAAAAGTTCTTATTTTTAAACCATTATAAAAGTGACATTTATTTGCTATTAAAATTGGTGCAATAGTCCCCTTCACAAGTATATATAGATGTAGCATGTTGAAATCCCCACCTACACTACTGTGATGGTATACACATGGAAGACAGAGATTTAAAAAATGACCCAAAAAACATAGCTTGGCTAATGCCCTTTGAAAAGGAAGGTTTTATTGAGCTTCTGTATAATGTACAAGAGAGCGTTGTCCACAAGGCCATCAAAGCGGACAGGAAGGTAGCTGTGGTCATGTACTAGCGCAGGAATGTCAGCAAACGGGGATGGAAGATCTTCTCCTCCTGCTTACACATTATATAACCTGCAGAAACAAAAACAAAAGTGACCAACAACAATTCACGGTGTATAAGATTGGTATATCAATATGTGATTAAATTTCAATGATACACATGCCCTTTGAAGATGAGCTGGAAAGTTGAAAATGTTTGGCACAACACCATCTTTAAGTTGTCCAAATGAAACTAATGCAAAATTATAAAAGATTTGAGTCAACAACAATCATGTAATACTATTATGTCATAGCAAAAGTCTGGCATCTTCATTTTAATAAACCCAGCAAATTCCTGTAACATAATGTAAGATGTGTTGACAAAGCAAATCGATTGGAAATCATGTTAAATTCTGCCTCTTCCACTGATGTAAAGTTGCTGGTTAACGTTAGCAGCTAGCTAAACTGTAACGTTAGCTGCTAACTTACTAACGTTAGGGCTGCGTCTCAATTCGCAGGCTGCGTACTTCCGAGGACGCAGCCTACCTAGCCTCCGGAGGACCCAGCCTCGGTAGGCTGCTCCGGAGGATCCTCAGCCGCTGGTAAATGGGACGGTCTAGCCTTTGGAGCACTTCCTGGTTACGTCACGACGTCATCACGTCTACACAAAGCCCGGGAAAAACCGCGCCATTAATCCGACGATTGATTATTGATTCAAATAGCATAGCAAAATGGAAACTTCAATTTTTATTTTATTTTATTTTATTTACCTGATGTTGGAGGAGGAGAGTCGGATTCGGCGGCAGCAAAACCGGCGACAGATTTATTTGAGGCTGGCAGAGCGCAGTGTAGAGGTAACATTTACCTTTATTATTTTCCCCCACTAGGGTCTGCTAATGATCAGAATATACCAGTTATTTATCAAACACTTGTCAGCAGATTAATGAATATCATATTTTAAATATATATTTTTAAGACTTGGTATAAGCTTGTTTGTAACTTTAGTAATTTGAATTGAATAGTTAAATGTTTACAATCCCTGTAAATAACTGACTTAAATCACCACTTTCACTATCACTAAGGTTGTGTGGAGAAGGCAAACTGTATTATTGAGAAATAAATGCTTATTTGTCTAAATTGTTATCCACTTACTGCCTGATTTTATTTGCAATTATAGCAGAAAAATAATACAGGTAAAATAAATATAAAAACGAAAAAATAGGTTAAATAGTGGATCTAGATGAAGTAAAATAAGTAAAGGCCAGAATTGTTTGGTCCCAAATTGGCAACACCAGGCGTTAAGGGGTTAACATTCACTAGAATTGTATCAGCTAAAATGAAATTGCTGTCATCTAATCCTGTTCTCAACCTTCATCTCTCTTTCCAGACCAGGCCGATGTACTGCCGCATCAATCTTAATGTTCCCGTTCTCCAAATATTTTTCAATAATGAAGACACCAGACCAGACTTTCGGCTGAGCAGAGAGTCTCTGGCGGTGCTGCTGGACCTTCTCTGCCAGGAAAGAAGACACGGATGGGGGGCCACAATAGAGACCTTGGTCTTCCTCTTCTGGCTAGCGAGTGGGGCATCCTACAGAGTGGTGGCTAGGGTGTTCGGGATGCCTCGCTCCACAGTTCACCGCATCGTCCACCGGGTTACTGAGGAGGTGGTGGCCATCCGCCACCGAGTCATCTGCCTCCCCAAAGCTGCAGAAGACCTGGCAGCAGTAACCCAGGGGTTTGAAGGACTGGCCGGACACAGAGCTTTTCTCAAAGCTGCTGGAGCGATCGACGGCTGCCATGTGAGGATCAAGCCTCCAAGCGGTCCTGATGGTCAATGCTATCGGAACAGGAAACTGTTCTCCTCCATCATTCTGCAGGCAGTTTGTGACCATCAGGGCCGCTTCATCGATACATACGTGGGCTGGCCGGGGTCGGTGCATGAGTCCAGAGTGCTCCGGAACAGCCCACTGTACAGGCAGGCCATCTACCCTCCTCCGGGCCACTTCATCTTGGCAGATGGTGGGTACCCGTGTCTCCAACACCCACTCCCCCTCATCACTCCTTTCAAGCGGCCGGTACAAGGTGTGGGAGCCCTGCGCTTTAACAGCCATCATTCCAGGGCACGCTCCATCATAGAGCGTGCCTTTGGAATGATGAAGACGAGGTTCAGGGCCATCTTCCTCCAAGCGCTTGAGGTGCACCACACCTTTGTGCCTCAGGTATGTTACTAAATGAGAGAATTATTGCTTATAGATAAATGATAAAAAGCTTTAAATTAATTTCTTCAAATATACTATAAAATGTTTTTGTCTTTTTTTTTTTCTACAGGTCATAACGGCATGTGCTGTCCTGCACAACATATGCCTGGGAGCTGGTGACATCATGGCCCCAGAGGATGAAGAGCAGGACGACATGCCAGAGGATGAGGGGGAGAACATGTTGGAGGCAGTCAGTGGTGCTCACTGGCGGGACCAGCTGTCTGCTGAGGTGTCTGCCCTGGAGGAGGGTCTACCCGACCATGATTACATTTAGATGGCAAGTAGAATCACATTTTAGCTGTTCTCATTTCAGGGTTATTAAAACAGTTGTAGTAAAGTCATTTTCTGCGTCTTCTTAAATATTTTTAGTAACATGGCAGCCGTCGATTGGGTCAGCCCTTCAAACCCTGATGGACGATGTGGTGAACAGTGGAGAGAGGCATCCCCCCGACCCCCCAGATGATGTCCCACTCGCAGTCAGAAGACTCAAAGGTCATCTGTGTGGCATCCCATCCAGTCCAGCAGCACCACCAGGGACTCCTGCTCAGTCGATATTGTATATATATGTTCTTTTCAATCTTCTGTAAATAGTATTTAAAATTGACTGTAAATAGTTTAAAATATTTTTAATAGTTTGTTATAATTGCATCTCAAAAAATAAATTGATGTTGTCACTGAGAAGTTGTTCTACGTTTACTTAAATTGTCAAGAAGTGATGAAACAGATAATGTAAAAAGGTTAAAAGACTTTAAGAACACACCGACAACAATAACTTTGATAAACAATTTAATAATTTAATTTAATAACAGCAACACATAACTTGAACTTGTAAACACAGCAACAACCAAAAAAAAAGAACACACCAACAAAAATTAACGTCTGTCCACCATCCTCTCCAATAAAGTAAACAGTCTGTCCATCCTTTACCGGCTCTCTCTTTCTCTTCTCTCTGCCGCCTCCCTCTGCAATCTCATATCCTCCCTGATCAATTCAAGCAACTCGTCACTCCTCCTTCTTCTCTTCCTCCTTTCCCTCCTCTCTCCTGGCCTCTCATCCTCACCCTCTTCCTCGTCATCGCCCTGATGCTGCCCAGCCTCTGCAGCACCTGGCACTGGTGTGTCCTCAGGGATGGAGGCAATTAGGACAGGTGGGGCAACAGAGGGCCTCTGTCCTAATACCTCATCCATGAGGACAAACCAGGGCCAGGTGGCAGCAGTAGGCGTACCCCTGACACCCTGCCCTGTCCCTGGATCTTTGCACTCCTATAGTAGAGGAAAACAATTTTTGTCAACAGATGCAATTTTCTGTAGTGTTTCTTTAAAGCTAGAAAAAAGGAGTGTTTCATGATTTGGATAGATTAATAACATTCTACAGAAAAAGAGACGACTTTGGAATAATAACTTTGAGATGACTTTTTTCAAGCTAATTCATCTTACATATAATATATGTAAGATGTCATTTCCCTACACATTTACACACACATCTATCTATCTATCTATCTATCTATATATATATATATATATATATATATATATATATATATATATATATATATATATATATATATATATATATATATGTATGTGTGTGTGTGTTGTAAAGGAAGAAAATATTCTAACATAGTTAACTTTGGAAAAAGGTTGGCTTTTCATTTTCTTCCCTCTCCAGGTCCACCCGGCGAGCTGCGTTTGGTAATATGAAAATCAGCAAGGCGTGTTGACATCACAGAATTACAGAGTTTAATCCAATATAAGACAATGCATAAACTTAGAAATAAGACAATGCACAAACCTACACCAGAAACTGCAGAACAACAGAGACATACATTCCATTACCTGACATAGGAGGAAAGAAAGCAAAGACGTACAAGACATCTTTGGAGAGTTTGCAAGAGCAAAATCTGATCTTTTTCTTCTATTTAGAAAGCTTTATCCTCTTGTATCTAATCCATTCAAAAAGGGCTGGCCCTCGGTCCTCCAACCAAAAGCCATCTCTGACACTGCTAGGGCTTCCCCTTATTTACTGCAAACATCTGGGGTCATTTTCTTCTTTGTTTTAACAAGAAAAGGCGGAAAGCTTGTCCTGGCATCTAGAATTCCTAGGGTCATAAAACACAAGATAAGCTCCCACAGACAGCCCGTGGAATGCAGGGGGCCTCACCATAAATTCTCATGAACAAACCCAAATTTAGTAATCTGGTTCAAGGAAAGGTTATCTTCACAAACTTGTTCAAAATAAGAAATATGTTCACAAGGAGAGTATACAACATACCTTTTACACATGCCATAAGATTAAGTGTATTAAAGTCTAAAAATAATCATTTTTCTTTAACAGTCCCCGTTTTGAGGTCTGAGACATACAGACCTCACAAATAAAATGATTAAGCCTTCTAATAGAGGAACCAAAAAACTATTTAGTATACTAAAAAACTAAAACATTAGCCCAATTTTATAACAGTCCCCTTTTTAAACAGCACCTCCTAGGTCCACTGCCAGGTCATGTGTCTGAAGCTGAACTCCATAATCTAAACTTATCAAATGTATCTTGCGCTGTCCAACAATTTAATACTCACCTGATGAACCACAAAATTTTAACCAGTAAAAACTAAACTAAAAATACATTTCACTTATCAAACATGAAAAATCATAAAACTCAGTTATGTCAATAGAAGAAAACACACAATAGAAATATTAGCCCAAGTATAAAATTAGAAAACCAAAGCAAGATATCTCGAAATTACCAAAAAATGCTCAGCAGACTCAAAAGACAATACTCGCCACAAAAATTACAATTTGTCAATACAAAACAATAACAACATAAAAAAATACATCATAAACACATAAAAATTACAAAAGACCTTTTTTTCTTTTTTTTCACAATTCAACAATAAGAAGTTAGAGTTCGTCTCTATGCTCCTTCGATAGTCTTTCAAAAATGAATATGAATTCTTCGTCAGGAAACGATCCAAAAATACGCGCAAAAAGAAACGAATGTTCTTGAAGAGTTCGCAAAAAACGAAAACACGCAATAAAAAGAAGATAAGTTAATGATGATCTTGTAGCTGGATCCTTCACGTGTTCCTCCTCGGTTGCAAACCTCAGGTTCTCCACCTGAGTGTCCGCTGCTCACCGAAAACTGGAGTATTATGCCAATTTAACAGTGAGTTTAAGGAGAGGGTGCAATCTCCTTTTCTCAATGGAAGGACACCGGAACAGGATTATTGTGCCTGTCTGGGCCCCCCAAGCCTTGTAATTCAGGAAAATGAAGTGGTTTTGGCAGGAATCCCTCCCACACTTCTGCCTGGAAATGCAGATCCTCCTCCGCGCTGTGATGTGCCTCAGACACTCCTCGACCGCAGGTTGAGACTGTAGATTCTCCTGTATGCCCTGCAGCGTGCGCCGTGGCTCCTCAGCTGACTCCAATGGAACCACGTGTCTCCTTCTCTCTTGTAGACGGACAGCCTGAGATGTACTCTCCACGACTCGGTATGGACTGGCGAAGCGAGGCTCAGACCACTTTCTTTTGATGACCATCAGGCGCACCCAGTCGTTTTCCCGAACTGATCCCGAGCCTGGACGTTCCTGTGACGTCTGGTATTTTGTAAATTCTGCTGCCAGGACCTGTAACTCATTGAAGAAATCTTTATGAGATAAATGTGCAAGCTTACCTTTCCATCCTGGAATGCGGGTAGCAGGTCCTGGAAACATCCGTCCTGTCTGGAGCTCATATGGAGAGAACCCTGTTGATTGGTTAATGATTGATCCTACACTTTATGACAGCTTCACTGTCTTCCTTTTGTATTATAAATCTGCTACTTTGGAGTTGTATTTTATCAATCCTTTGACCCTCTTTTTATATAAGGCCTACATGAGAAATGAAAGTTTCCTATCATGTTAAACCCAAAACTTAACTGTATTTTAGAAGCAGTTCCATAACTGTTAATTTGTAAATCTCCAATTTAGACCAATTTAATTTCAATCATCATATTTTCTATTTTTTAAAACCTTAAAGAATGATCAGCCTGCTTTACATCAGTCACTAAATATCAAAAATGACCTACTTTATTCCAATCATATTTTAAATCCCAAAAATTTCAACCATTTTTACCTTTGATCCATTTATTCATTTGAAAACCTATTTATAAAATATTTAATTGAATAATGTATTACCCTTTTTATATTGTTTATCAATTATCAATGCCTTTTCAGTTTTGGAGAGAGATTCAATACAGCTAAATTTATTAAATGATGTAAATCTTTAGTTTAGACCTTCCTGGATGTCTTAGTTAAACAACTTATTTTAAAACATATGAATAGAGATACAACAATCCAATGATCACCTTCCTTAGTTTAAGAACACTATTTTATGTAAATTATTTGATAGTCAATATTTTGTTTAGTATATTCAATTTATACATTTTACTTATTTCATATCCAAATAGTTAGCTCATCTTTAATGCTGGTAATACACCGTAAAACATTTAATGTATTGTGATTTAACTTCAATAACCTCTTTTTCCGAAAAGTAAAGAGAGATCCAAACTAAAAATTTGCCTATCAGATCAATTCCATTCATGTCCCCCCTGTTTCTATAACAGAACAAATGTTCTGTCATAGAATACAATAAAAATCCTATACAACTCATTGAGATGAAATCCGCTATCACCACTAAGTTTAGCCTCATGTACCACAGTTGGATGCAATTCAAACATGGTGTCCCAGATGCTGTTACAATCTGCACACCTCAATCAAAGAATTCTAATGTTTGATTAAATGTATGAAATCAACACAGAACTTGGTGTCTTTAGCTCAGTTAGCTCAATAGACACCCATCAATCCACTTTAACACCTTAATTTCAAATTCCATTTAAATTTAAATTTAGTTTTACTGAATGGTAGCCACTGTACTATGTAAATAAAATTTAGATCATCTTCCTTAGTAGATGAAGCGTAACACACAATGCAATTCAGCTATAGTTAAAAAAGAATGTAATTGCAATCGTTAGTCCCTGCCCATTCTTTTCAGGCAGGAAAGGAAAAAGACACACTAGCATTTTGTGAGACAAACAGAGTGAATCATGGAGGAATGCAGTGTCGTAACAGTTGGTGCACACCAACCCCTAACTGCATCGTAAAACCTCTGACCCCAGGAGATGGGGTTGTCCTCAACACCTAGAATTACACTGCAGGGCTGCAGGACGTGAAGAAAACAGGGCGCCTCAGTGCTATATCTGCAGACTGAAGGGAACCCCAGGAGTGGGCTCTGGCGCCCAGGTCACATGATCAGAGGTGAGAATCCAGGATCAAACATGAGAACACACAACAGGACCACCGCTGAGCGACTTGCCATGCCCCATTCTATATCTGCTGAATCAGAAGGTGTCCAGAATAGCAGTCATTCCAGCAGTGCAGAAACATCTGGATACAGTCCTGCTTTGATGAACTTTGGTCAGCCTTTCGTGGTCGACAGAGCAGGACATAGAAACCAGCAGACCAGTCATCTACTGAAACCCCCGTCCGGGTTTGTCTATGATCTTTGTGGTCCCGACTCACTGCTGATTCCCAGCCATAGAAGACTCCCCCAGATAACGCTTGAGTCCCTTTTGTTTTCAGCCAGGCATGAAAAGCAACAGTCAAAGGAGACATCTGTTGCCAGGTCCTATGAGCAGCACTTTGCAATCACGTGCAGCATCATCATGTACAGCAGGAGAACAGTTCGCTTTCACTGACCTTCGTAATCGCTCAACAGCGTTCGGCTTTCATACAACAGTCCAGCAGAAGATGGGCCTAGTTCAGCATCATCATGTCTTTGTTCAGCAACAACAGCGGCCTGATGCGGTAATCAAGAAGATCCCTTCAAATACATCTTCCCATGATCTCTGAGCTTAAAAGACCCTTCCCCCAAGATTGCCATCAAGTCAGAAGGAAGGAGAACTGCCAGAGAAAAAATAATACAAAGTAATTAAAAAGCA